ACCCTAAACCCCAACCCTAACCCTAACCCTAAACCCTAAATCGCAACCAGACTCCTAATCCCCAGAAAACCCAAGGGCCAAGGGAGCACAAACTATAGAAAAGCCACAGTGCTTTGAGCGCTTCCGAACCGAGCCGCACACCGTAACCCTAGGGATCTAAGGACTCATATATTGAGGCTTTTGGGCCCAAAGACCATGCTATATAAGGCTTTTGGGCTATTTTGATCCCTAGGGTAATGTACGGTCCTACATACTTACCGATAATATATGACGTGTTCCTGATATAGTAGAATCCTATTCTAATTACTAAGGCCCCTACGACATTACAAATCCTGTAAGCCCTAAACCCCCAGACCCTGCACGCAATAAAACCCTCAAACCCTGAACTACAGCGTCTCTAAACCCCAAAAGTCAGGAAGTTCTGAAGCCCTGTAAGCACTATACACCGTATAAAACCTATACAACCTATACATAAGCCCGACAAAACCTGTAAGCCCTGTAAACCCACAAATCCGCAGAAATCCTCTAAGAACCCTAAACCCTAAACCCTAAACCCTAAAACCCTAAACCCTAAAACCCTAAACCCTAAACCCTAAACCCTAAAGCGCTAAGGATCCTCTGGCTGCCTGGAGAGGGTTCTCCAGGCAAAGCTCGCTGCAAAGACCTCGTTTGCCCTACGCACCGCGGCCCTGACCGCTTCCTTAGTGGTTGAGTAGGTAACCTTTAACCTGTTGGGGCTCCTATAATCCTACTGTAATTCGAAAGGTTAACCTTTTTTAGGCTAGGGTACTCAGCCCCTAAGCTTCTGAAAGGGCCCCGAGTTCCCGAAGGGTCCAAGTATTAATATGCCCTACGGGTCCATGTACCCAAATAGTATATACTTTGGCCTTTAGGTATTCCCTATATAGGTACTTTGGGGCCAATGTATATACTATATGAGTACATGGACCCTCAGGGTTAGGGACCCGAAAAGAACATAAGCATAAGCATGTTATAGGGATATCCCTACCTTCTTGGGCTTCATTGTAAGGGGGGTTTATATGGGATATCCCTATCCTAATGTTTGCTTATGTGCTTTTTTTGGGCCCTACTGAAAGGGCCCCGAGTTCCCAGAGGGTCCAAATATTAATATGGTTAATATGGCAGATCCTTAGTATGTACTTGCGCCCCAAAAGTAGTATGCTATACTATAACTTGGACCCTTTGGGGTTGTTAGAATATCGTTCCTTTTCAAAGTTCTCTGACGGTTCCTCCTCCTAAGAATGGCCCTAAAAAGAAACTCCACACTTCATAAGGCTTTGGTCTAGAGAACCGTAACTCTTTGCACCGTAGCAACACTCTTCGTCCTACATTCGGCAGTTCGTGCAAGTCTCAAGTCTGAAACCCTAGGGTACCTTTACGGGTTCCTTTAAGGGTTCCCTGATGGCTTCTATAAGAGTACTATATAGGGTTTAAGGGTTTGCAGGGCTTAGGGTTCTTAGGGTCTACACTGAATAAACTCCAGCATAACCCAGAACCTCACCGCCTATGTGGGGGGGGGGGGGGGGGGGGGG